GTTGTTTTTAAGACTTTTCTCTAATCTGGTTTATAAGGTAGTATAGATATATAGAGGAGCGATCAAATACAAACCACCCAATTTGTACAAACCGTGCTAACCACACTCATCCGTCGATTTCATTGTTTAATATTATGAAATTTTTTCATGAAATTGTTTAATCTTGTGAAATTGTTTCATATAATACTTTTTTTGATGAAGTTGTTTCATATATGGTTATGAAATTGTTTCATATAATACTTAATGAAACTATTTCATGTATTTCTCTAAAATAAAATAATGAAGATGATAATATCCATGATTAACACCCTCCACAATAAAAATGATTAATCAGCCTCTCATAATTACAAAAAAAATTAACAAAATGAAAAATTATGATTAGTTGAATGAGGTTTGTACTGTTTGTACAAATAACATAGTTTGCAAAGTAAACCTCCTCTCTCTCTCTATATATATATATATATATGTGTGTGTGTGTGTGTGTGTGTGTGTGTGTGTGCGCATATCAAAAGAGCAAATTGCAATTCTCGTCATTTTCTTTCATCGCCTCTTTCTCCCATCACTCTCTCCCTCTAAGGGAATCGAGATAACAACTATATATTCGGAATCAACTCTTCGAACCCTTCCTAAAGGTATAAATTTCTTTTGTTTCTATTAGGGTGTTTATGTTAGGGTGTTTGAGATTGATTTGTAATTGTGTATATGATTTGTATATGAATTAGTATATATAATTTATGGTTAAATACATGTTTTGGAATGATTGAGCTAAAATGATGTAGAAAGAAGAAGGGTAAATTATAGATTCAATATAGTTAGATTGGGTGTATAAGATTAATCGTACACTAAATGTTCGGTTAAATGTCTAAAAGAGCAAAATCGTATGATCAAGCTTAGGATTATAATCATTAAGCTTCATTTGTGGTGTTTAGTATGTTATGGTATGTTTATATATTTAAATGTTGCAAATCATTGAAGTTGGGATCATAAAAGTGAGTTGGGGAAAAATATGGAAACCGAAATTTTGAACAACTTCAAGTCCAGTAGTTTAATAGTGTATAACTCTCAAACCGTAAGTCGAAATAAGCTCATATTTTGCAATTCGAAATCCCTTACTATATACTACAACTGTTATGAAGGGTCTAAAACCCAGTTATGGCTCTAAGTGACTCAAAACAGTGTGTTTTTAGGGTTGTTCCCTGTGTACTCGTGATCATAGCTTCTGTTTTGTAAAATTCATTTAAAATAGATGGATGATTTAAATGAGATGATTCTAAAACTAGTAGACTCACATGGTACCATGATACAATTTTCATTTGACAATATAATCTGGATTGGTCTCTAAGTAGGTAAAAATGCTTAAAAAGAATTGGGACGGAAAATTGTTGGATCGAAAGTGCGTAAGGCTGAGTGTTACGTTTGAGTTCTCAATTCGTATCTGACTGTCATTCTTTTATTCTACGTTGTTTAGGTACTTTCATATCTAAGTAATTTTATTAGAGTAATTATGTAATAATTTTTATGCCTTTCAAAGAATAATTCGTTTATGCATTCGTTAGGCACGCGAGCAAGTCAAACTTGATCGTGAATTCCGTTTGATCGTACGTTAGGTATCAAATTCGGTTATGGTACCGATTTCATACCTAAATTGACACGGGGATAGTCGTTTGTATAAGGCTTTCTAATCTGAATACATTGGTTCCAAATTCTTTGTGCTCATCAACTGCTATTGAGCTTTTGTTTTCTTTCGAAATATGATGTACATTCTTATTTGGAAAATGGATCATTTTGATCACTTGACTTGTTAGATTGCATCAATTGTGAACCATTTTACTATAGACTCAAGATTGGGGGAATCGGTATTGAGATGTTTCCATTGTGGCTAAAACGATCATGGCGTCCTCACTTATATAGTTCTTAAAAGTGGACTTGATGATGTACTGGTCGAGTAGAAGGCGTGTGGATCGATCCCAGAAACCGTTATCGGATAGTAAATTATGGACATGGTTAAATCCACGGAAAGGATTGTTGTGTTGTGCTCGCACCCTTTCCTCACTGATGCCTGAACAGTCTGATCATTCTTTGGGAACAACGCGTCATCGTGATGCGGTTTGGTCTTCGGACCCTTGACATGCCTTCGAGGCATTTTGACTTTGTTTTGGATTATCAGTTAATGTTATAAATTACTTTTGAATTTGTTATCTCATATTCATTGTTTAACTATTATTATCCGTTTACTGAACATTAAGCTCAGCCAAGATTTTCTTTGTCCTCGACAGGTACATGACTTAGCAGTGATTTTGGGATTAGAGCTACGGAGATGACAATACTAAAGATAACTCATATTGTCATACTTATGATGACTAATGTTGATATACTTGTATTTTGGGACCGTATTTTGATACACGTTATTTCCTTTTGTAGTTATATAATTATATTTTTGGTAAATTATATTAGCCGCTCTATTTTAAATAATGCGTTGAATTGTATTTTTTTTAAACCAATTATAACATCTTCCGTCTTTAACCACGCAAGACGGGGGTATTCAATCTTACAATGAATATATTCAATGAACCACATTCATCGGATATAACTCCAAAAGATTAATATCCAAAATCCTAAACTTAAGATTTTGGATGTGAAATATTCATCTAATCTTTAACTTGTACAAATTGGGAGAGCAAATATTCTGTAAGAACAAAAATGTAGTTTACTCATAACAATTTGATGGGTAATTAGAGATTACGTTTTCCAATGTTGTCACAACCTTAATAAAGTGATCACTATTTCATTGGTTAAAAAAACTAGTAAAATTAACATACAGAAAAAATGATAAAGGTGTGAATTAATTAGAAATTAAATATTCATAAAATTTAATTTATTCCCTTTCATATTTGGTATCAAATTTTATTCCACGTGGGAGAAAAGAACGAAGGAGGCGACAATGAGAAAGAGGAAGGAATGAGGCAATGGCATTTGATATGTATTATATTAGTGGAAAGTTTAAATAAAAAGGGTAACTATATATGCATGAAATAAGGTGGAAAGGAAGATTTCCATATAAATAGTCTGTATCGTTGATTTATATATATATTTAATTCATCTTATATTTTCATATTTTATTTTAACATTTTACTATTATATATATATATATATAATCATTTGTTAACCAAATAAAAATATTAATTTTATAAATTCATTTAAGCCGTTTATTTTTTTTGATCAATGGGTATGATTAAATTAAAGATTATAAATGATGAAAAAGTAAATGAAATTAGATGGAAGGTAATTTTGATTTTGCAAGATTATCATGTACTATTTTTAAAAGATGATCATGTTTTATATGATGTTTATATAAAGTTCATTGTGTTGTTTTATCTATTAACTTTAATTGTTTCGATTTTTTTTACCAAATTTTAGAGGTTAAACAATGATTTTTGTTTAAAGTTCATATATGAAACAATGATTTTGTTTAAAGTTTATAAATGAAACAATGATTTTTATTTAAAGTTCATAATGTTATTTTTCTGTATTAACATTGATTGTTCCACATTTTTATTAAAGTTCATAAGTGAATATAAAAAATAAATAAAATCATTAAGAAAGCTTAAACAAAATAAATGAGATTAAAAGAATTATATTAATTAGACAGTTAAAAAAAAGATGCTTCTCTCTCTATATATATTTATATGTAAAACCAGATGAGTTTATTGATAGCAGTAACGGTAGGCATTGGATTGGGGTGTCGGTGGAGATGTGTCGGTCTCTATTTATAATATAAAAGTCGTATAAGTTGGGCCATGACAACCACTCATGGCCTGTATTTCCAATCCAACTATTTATTTTATTCATAATTTTGTTTTCTATTTATCTCTCATAAGTATATTTTATGACAATTCAATTATTAATAAATAAATATTTATTTAAATTCATATTCTCTTTCAATATATAATATATATATATAGTTAGGTTCGCATGAGACATGATTTTTACACTTGAAACATTACGATAAAATGTTTGAAGGTAAAAAAAGCCGAATGCAAAAACACTGTGAAGGTTACCTTCACAGTGTTTTGCTGTTAATTCAAGTGTAAAAATCATGTCTCACGAAAACAAGTTTTTTCTTACACGATCCCAAATCTATATATATAGGAGTCATTCAAGGAGAACTGATTAGTTTGTGATAATTGTAAGATCCAATCTCAACCATATGTCAATAGATAAATTAGTAAATTTTGGTAATTTGAGTTAAAAATTATAATTAGAGGACATTTTAGGTATTTTTAAAAACTCATCTCTTCACTCTCCGACCTTTGATCTCCAGCCTCTAGTGAACATTATTCTGATCGGTACCAAGTAATCACTGTGATACACAATGTGATACACATTGTGGTATCACTGTGATACCAACAATGATACCATCTCAAACCTTAAAAACAAAATCAAATCCATAATTTAAATTTAAGAGATATATACAGACCATCCACGTTGTGATACCTAACATGCATACAAGATGCACTGTGATACCCAATGTAGTACCAATTGGAGTATCACTGTGATACCACTCACACCAAATATATTATCATTGTGATACTAAACCTTAATAGACAAAACCTTAACCATATACTTCTTATAAACAGGATACTTCTAGGATAACATCATTCCACCATAATAATTCATACTAGAATTGAATTGCATTAAATGATAGGTATCATCAAAAGCACCACCAATTCTTATCAAGCATGATCAACTCAAGCATCTAGACCGACAAACAAAAACCCTAATATAAAACCCCCTAAAATCTATATTATCATATAGCAACAATGTACAAGATCATAGATAATCAATAATTTATGCCAAATTAATGAACTAAAGCACCCGAATTCATCAATCAGAAGCAACTAAGATTATCTAGGTTTTACCCAAAACAACTACAACAAAACCTAGAATCATCAATCATCATCCATAACATATAGAAAATATACTTATCTAGTTCACTTAACCTAAGGCTTCTGGTAGGCATAGGTAAGACCACATTTGCCACAGTAGTGCCTATCAAAATGATTAGACATAAAAGTTCCCACACCAAAGGTCAAAAAGTACTAGGAGGTCCCAAGTTCAAATCTAAGGAGGAATAAAAATTCCCTTATAGCCATGGAGGTTCAAATGCGGTGACTCTGGTTTACCGCAAAGCAGGTGGTCGCTCTGGGATTAGTCGGCTCACTTAGCGGGTTAGATATTCAGATTAATAAAAAAAAAAAGTTCCAGCACCGCACTCGGCATTGGGACACTCTTTCCTTAATCTTTCCACCTTACCGAAATCATCAAACTTGTAGAACTGCAAAATGCTTGACTTCACCTTCTTGTGCTTGATCTTCTTCAGCTTGGTGTAGGTTTTATTGTGCTTCTTTGCGCCACCACAGAGATGGAGGACCAAATGGAGAGTCAATTCCTTCTGGATGTTGTAGTCGGCTAGTGTTCTGCTGTTCTCGAGCTGTTTGCCGGCGAAAATGAGGCGTTGTTGGTCCAGTGGGATGCCTTCTTTGTCTTGGATCTTAGCCTTCACATTGTCGATCATATCAAAGGATCTGACCTCCAAGGTGATCGTCTTACCTGTTAGGGTTTTTAATGAAGATTTAAATTTTTCGCTGATTTGGAGATACGATGATTAGGGTTTGAAGGAAGGTGAAAGATATGTTCTTCTTCCTTGTTGTCGTCTTCCTCAGTGTCACCGTCTTCCTCCTCGTTGTCGTCTTCCTCAGTGTCACCGTCTTCCTCCTCGTTGTCGTCTTCCTCAGTGTCACCGTCTTCCTCCTCGTCGCAGTCTTCATCATCGTCGTCTCTGTCGCCGTCGTCTTATGTCTGTAAAGCCATGTTGTTTGGAAGCGAAACGGGCATTTAGGGATGGGTAGAGAGAGAGAATTTAGGACATGTTACCATATGAGTTATCAATTTTTTTTTTACCAAAATTACCCTTTATGATTATTTAAAATATACTAATAATTATCTTAAATGATTGGTCCATATTAGAACTCATAGTTACCACAAACTAATCAATTCTCATTTGATTAAGCCCATATATATATATATAAGACATATTTTACATCCGTGGTTGTAATTTGACAAAAACGACGAGTGGTGGGGTCCCGAACTAAGCTTTGGCTAAACCTTGGAAACTATAACTTCAACCTATTTATTGGTCTGAACAAGATACGAATTATTTAAATTTTTGTGGTTTGACATTGCTTAACACCTAAAAAGAAAGGAGTTGGTTTTATCGTGTTATTAAAGAGTTGAACATTGAAAATAGATGACAAATGTCTGATTGAATTGATATATATATATATATATAGAGAGAGAGAGAGAGAGAGAGAGAGAAAGAATATGAATTTAAATAATTTTTTATTTCTTAATAATTGAATTGTCATAAAATATATTTGTGAGAGATAAATGTAAAATAAAATTATGAATAAAATAAATTATATATTTTCTGCATAATTCAGTATAATAATTAAATATATAATGTATTAATAAAAACATATCTTTGAGTGATGTATTTATATATTTGAAAATTAATAAATAATATTTTTTTAATTTAATATTGTAATAAAATTAACTAAAAAGGAGTAATGATTTGGTAGATGTTGAAATGCAATGTAGTGCACTCGAAGCAAAAGTCGGTGGAACGAAGCAATCACTTGTACCTGCCGCATCACACCAAACACATGGATTAAATTACAAGAATCAACCCTCAACTATTCATTAATTTCAATTTAGTTCTGGATATATTGTTTCTTACATTTGTGGTTTAGACTCCTATTTTACAAGGTTAAAAATCCTTCCCTTCGCCTTAGAGAGTAGTCACGTGTGTAAGGCATGACCATCTTTAAAGGATAATATTGTCAAAGAAATTTATAAGCTTCACCATATGAGTAATCTTTTTAATTGTAGTTTTTCATTTCATATTCAAGTATCATTTCAATCTAATTCAGAAATAAAATGACATTTAGAAAAATCAAATAACTTTTTTATGATTTCGTTGTAACAAAACTAAAAATCCCATTAATATTATTATTCATTAAAACTTCAATAGTAGGGTTGTTTGCTGACCTCTTAATAGTTCTATTAAGAGACAGCATATGAATCGCTAAAAAGTGAATCTTATTTGATAATTAAAGTTTGTCTTTTAAGGTTCTAAGACCCTTGGGCCTCCCTGAACCATTCAGTGTTCTAATTTCATCATGAATAACTATCAAACAACCACATTACATTTTGTACTATATTATAAGAGTCTCTTAATCCAAGGAGGAATAAAAATTCTCTTGTGGCCACGAAGGTTCAAATGCAGTGACTTCGGGTTATCTACAAAGCAGGTGGTCGCTCTGGGATTAGTTGGCTTGAATAGCGGGTTGGATATCCAGGTCAATAAAAAAAGAGTCTCTTAATTATTATGTAACAAATCATCCAACAACTGTCAAACAACCCGTCAGTCGAATTGGTTTTGAGTCTAGAAAGTAGATTAATGTGCATGTTACACTTAAACTGATAAACAATGAGTTACAGATAAACCTGTAACGCCCAGAATTTTCGTTACTATCTTTTATTTTGAGTTCATCTATAAATGTGGTTCTTTAGTGATTATGTTAAGCTCCTTTGAATGTTTTTGGGCGTTTTAGTATTGGCACTTCAAAACTCAAGAAAATGAACTGATAAGAACGAAAAACTGGACCAAGCTAGTTGTTCGCTAGTTTAACTAGTGGTGAAACTAGTAAAACTAGTAAACACCACTGTTTGATTTTATTCAAAGTGCTTGGGCTAATTTCAAAGCTAGTTTGTTTGCTAGTTTAACTAGTGGTGAAACTAGCAATTACCAATGCTTGATTTCTTCAAAGTGTTTGGGCTAGTTTGTTCGCTAGTTTAACTAGCAGTGGAAATGTTTTAAGAGCCGATTTTTGGGTTTTCACTCTCATATTCTAACCAAGCTCTTTACTCTCCCAAATTTCTTCCTTCCCTCTTCATTGAATACTTTTTTGGAGCATTTACTCCTCATTTCCAACCAACCCAAGAGTATCTAAACCTCATCTAGGTTAAGGATTCAAGTCTAGTCTTCGAGATCCAAGTGTGTTCATCTCCTTTCCCAGCTTTCTTGATTTTCTAGATTTTCATCAAAATCTAATATAGTGAGTTCATCATTTACTTTTATATACATGTTAAAATGATGTATTTTACTTCCTTTAAGTTTCCATTTTAAGTATTTTGCATTTGGTTGATTTTGGACCATCTAGGTCAAAGTTAGGGATTTTGTATATTATAACGAAACAAGTGTGGGGAATGGTTTTAAACCCTTGAAAAATGATTATTTTAAAGTCTTGATCAATTAGGAACTCAAACCTATAATGTTCATACATTTGGGCCTTGTTGATAAAAATGGGATTTTAACCACTTGATGGGATTTTGTATACAAAAGTATCTATAAATGGTGAAGTTTGATATATATATATATATATATATATATATATATATATATATGGTTAGAATGTAATAGATCCATAGGCATTGAAGTCAGTTTTACTAGTATGTTGGGGTGTTATTCCCTAGTTGTAACTTGAAATAGGCATTGGGTCTTAATAAGCAACAAGATGTGGACCTTTGAAGTCGGGCAACCGTCCAATGACCATATAATGTAATTTCTAAGTGAATTACTTTAACTAGAATTATGAAGTTCTCAAGGTAACGCCTACATGGATGATGTTGGGAACTCCTCATTAAACTATAAGGCCCGGAGAGGGTTGATCTTAATGATTGGTCATTGGTTAGTGATGCTAATTAGATAACATTGAACCGTGACTTACTCTTGGGTTCTGTCACGGTTAATGGAAATCGGGTTCCTCGCTTCATCTCCGGATGGTTTATGCCCTTCCAAGGGTAAGCGTGAGTTACAATGTACAATCAACTAGATTAAGACTATGTTTTATGTTTTAAACTTTTATAGCTTTACTCAACAACTGTTTGTTCTCACTAGACATTAAGCCTAATGTTTTTTTTTTCTCAAATGACATGTATATTAGGTTCTCTTAACAATGGAGCTCCTAAGGGTTGAGTGGAGCATTCGTGTCGGTGGAGTTTTTGGGAATTACATTCTTGAACGTATTTGTGAAGTTACTAGATATTAATTCTCGTGAAGACTACAATGACCAAAATAGAAGTTATAGTTCAGGGACCTTTTGTACTATTCTTGAATAACATAGGAGGAGAAATGGACATGTAATTTTTTAGATAAAATGTCACTGTTGAAGACAGACTGTCTTTGTCGCTTTGTAGAGTCGACAGTCTCTTGCCACCCAACTTTCTATAGTCTTCATCAACACAATCATGCCATTATTAATGGAAATTTGATTCATAAATTACAGAAGAACAAACAAGGAAAACCAACCACACCATTACATTATTATTGATTTCCTTTCTTTCATCATATGGTCCAAGAGCCCCCACTGTCTTCTCCCCATTAACACACGGAAAGAGAGAAATTAACCTTTTCAAGCTCCACCCAGATTACTTGACATTTCCAATTGCTTGATTTCATCTGGGGTTTGAATCAATCTCTCTATTTCGAGTGTAATTTGACCCAATTCAATTGAAGTTTGGTTGGTATTACAAATATGTACGGGAGAGATCCGTGGGGTGGGCCATTGGAGATAAACAACGCCGACTCGGCGACGGACGATGACCGGAGCCGGAACTTGAACGACTTCGATAGAGCGGCGTTGTCAAGGCCGTTAGACGAGACGCAGCAGAGCTGGTTGTTGGGTCCTGGAGAACAGAAGAAGAAAAAGTATGTAGATCTGGGTTGTATCATTGTCAGCCGTAAGATCTTCGTTTGGACGGTTGGATTGATACTAGCAGCTGGATTCATTGCTGGATTCATTACATTGATCGTTAAAACTGTGCCTAGGCATCACAAGCATCCCCCTCCTCCAGATAATTACACTGTGGCACTTTCAAAAGCTCTTAGGTTCTTCAATGCTCAGAAATGTAAGTTGATTTCTCTTCTTTACTTGCTGTCAATCTTCAGTATGATTTGATCAATCGAATCTGCTAATTTTGGAAAGATCAATAAAGTATTATTCAGATTCCAAATAGAGACAATTATTATATATATATATATATATATATATATATATATAAATATATATATGTTGATGAATATGTGTGTGGATGATTTGGTGGCATTGTTATGTAAAGATGAAGGTGTCGGTGGATTGATTTTGCTAAATTATTGATTGAATTGTAACAATTTTACTTACCAAATTCATCCATATTGAGGCTTCTAAAGTCAAAGTGTCTCATCCTTCTTCCTGAAAGTTCATAAGTTAGATAAATATCTGGATTAGATTTGTAAAAGATGAAATCTTTGTGGTATAGTTGTATGATCTTCTTGTTTGTGTTTGATATATGCAGCTGGAAAACTTCCAAAGCACAATAATGTTTCATGGAGGGGCAACTCGTGTTTAAATGACGGTAAATCTGATAAATCAGGGGCGGTCTTGAAAGATCTTGTGGGCGGATATTATGATGCCGGGGATGCCATAAAGTTCCATTTCCCGAAAGCTTTTGCCATGACTATGTTGAGTTGGAGTGTGATAGAATATAGCGCGAAATATGAAGCTGCAGGAGAGCTCAACCATGTTAAAGAGATCATCAAATGGGGCACTGATTACTTTCTCAAGACCTTCAATTCTACCGCTGATAGCATAAGCCAAATCGTAGCTCAGGTTATTTTGAATGTGCTAATTCTATGTCATGTCAACTTCATCTTATCGTATCATCTTTAGATAGAACACTTGTTTAGTTGTAGAGTTGAGTCAAGAGTGTATTACAAGACCAAATTCTAACATGTTTTGCGGGTTTATGTGGTGGCAGGTTGGAAAAGGAGATACGTCTGGAGGAACAAGCGATCCTAATGATCATAGTTGCTGGATGCGACCAGAAGACATTGACTACACTCGGCCTGTGACTGAATGCTCTAGTTGCTCTGATCTTGCTGCAGAGATGGCTGCTGCTCTAGCTTCGGCATCAATTGTTTTCAAAGACAACAAAGACTACTCCAAGAAACTGGTCCATGGTGCTGCAACCCTATGGAAGTTCGCTAGGGATCAACGTGGGATGTACACTGCTAGTGGAGCCGATGCTGCAACTTTCTACAATTCAAGTATGTATTGGGATGAGTTCGTTTGGGGAGGAACTTGGATGTATTACGCAACTGGAAATCAGTCGTATCTTTACCTTGCTAGTCACCCAAAACTTGCTAAACATGCTGGTGCTTTTTGGGGTGGACCCGATTATGGTGTTCTTAGCTGGGACAACAAGCTTACCGGAGCTCAAGTAACTTCCTCTCCTTGACACACTTTTCACAATTCTTTCACACTTTGGTTCCATTCCATAATTTGAATCTGTTGATTGCTTAATGATGCATATTGTTGTGTTTTTATAGGTGCTGCTGACTCGATTGAGATTGTTTCTGAGCCCTGGTTATCCGTACGAAGAAACATTGCAGACGTTTCACAACCAGACAAGCATAATCATGTGCTCGTACCTGCCATACTTTTCAAGTTTCAACAGAACTAAAGGTTAACTAGCGATTATCTTATGTTCTGGTGTCGTGTTATCGTATTGAGTGCACAGATATTCATGTCGCTTCCATTGCAGGTGGATTGATCCAATTAAACCATGGGAGACCTCAACCGCTTCAGTATGTTGTCAATGCTGCCTTCTTAGCTACCCTCTACAGTGACTATCTCGATGCTGCAGATACTCCCGGATGGTACTGTGGTCCTAATTTCTACTCAACTAAGGAACTACGCAAGTTTGCCGAGACTCAGGTGTGTATTGCAGCCCCTTTTTCGTTTTTATATCTAAGGGGCCGTTTACTAAACACTTACCCAGTAAGTGTTTAGCGGGTAATTTTCCTTACTGGATGAACATGGCAAAGGTCAAAAATCTTACCCGGTAAGAGCAACGATAAAGATGGAGAGTCTTACTTGGTAAGTGAGTGTGACGATTCTTACCCGGGTAAGTGCTTACCGGGTAAATTGTTGCATACGGTACCATTTTGATGTACTACAATCTTACCGTAAAATAAATTATAGTGTTGACTCCTAAAGTTAAGCGCTTACCGGGTATGCATTTAGGTAAACGGGCCCTAAGCCTATGGTTGGCAAAATAGCTGATCAACGGGCTGTTAGAGGATAAACTAGCTAAATAGCTAGATAACAATGTAAAATTATCTAAAAAGATAAGGGTTTTGGTCATTTATATAAAATATGAAAGACATATTTTGGAAAAAAGAAAACAAAAAGGAAGTCATAGAAGTTAATGAAACGCTACTTGAAGTAGCTTTTAGAAAAACAAACTTATAAGCCAGCTTATGACTTAACAAATGGAGTTTTTTCAAGGTGGGATTATTGACAACCTATTATTAACTATTAACTAATTGTTTTGTTAATCTCACAGATCAACTATATCCTTGGAAAGAACCCGAGAAAGATGAGTTATCTTGTGGGCTTCGGCAACCACTATCCGAAACAAGTCCACCACCGGGGTGCATCTATCCCCAAGAACAGAATCAAATATAGCTGTACAGGAGGAATTAAGTTTAGGGACGCTAAAAAACCAAATCCCAACACTATTGTCGGTGCTATGGTGGCTGGGCCGGACAGGCACGATGGTTTCCACGATGTGCGTTCAAACTACAATTACACAGAACCGACTCTTGCTGGCAATGCCGGATTAGTTGCAGCTCTAGTGGCACTTTCAGGTGACAGAACTACAAAGATCGATAAAAACACCATCTTTTCAGCGGTGCCGCCAATGTTTCCGACTCCACCACCGCCACCGGCTCCGTGGAAGCCTTGAATGAGACCATTGATGGACTGGTAATCCTGGTTTTATGGTGTCTGTGTGACTTTTACTGAACAAGATTTTGCTACACTCTAGTTGGTTTTTTAGGGATGGTATGCAGCAGAAAAGGTGAAGGAAAGCATATGGACTTTTTTTTTTTGGGGGGGGGGGGGGGGGGGGTGGCAATTTACTTTGGAAAATGGAAGCTGTGATTATACATATATAGTATGTATGGTGTTTTTTTTGGATGTAACAAAAACAGTCAAAATGTATGTATAATTTGAAACAATGGAAACTTTGTAACATTCTTGATTGTTTTTATATTATTTTTTTTTGGTTTTCCTTTCTCAACTTCCTTCTTCCATGGCTCCATCCACACGAAATCGAAGAGTAGGTACCCGGATCTTGTTATTGTTGGTGATTTTTGTGAGAATATGTTGAGATCTTGTCGTGTTATTTTCCAAATAGGCCTTGAAGAGAGAAGAAACGTTCCAATACATATTGAGAAGAAATCATTCACTCTCACTAATGTGGGACGCCAATTTTATATTTGCTTTGTGGATCTAAATGAAATCAAGGAAGGGAGAGGGAATACGATTTGCACTATAATCGAGCTAAAGTTTTGAGAAGTGGAGTGTCAAGGAAAGATGTCTACACAATCGGCTAAAGATTAGACTCGAATCTTGTGAATTTAATCGGTCAAAGAGTCTAGGTTTATTAGCGGTTTATGGCTGAAGATAAAGACAAATATAATTGGTTTATGTAATATGTGTCATCTTCACTCCTGTTCAGACGACTCAAAAGGATATGTGGTTTTATTCACAAACATTAATGTTGTATTCTTGGATCATTCTTTATGAAGGAAATATTGCTCATTTTCCGATTTCTCTAACTTAATTAGCTCTTAGTAAAAAAAAAATTACAAAAATAATCGAAAAATACATTATTTCTTTTAAAAAAACCATCAATTTCTTCGGGGAAAAAGAAAGGACCCACAAAATGTGAGGCGACTTTTGGACTTGTTTTCATAAGGGGGAGGCTAATGGCACCCCTAAGTAGCTTAAAGATGATTTGTTTTATGGATTTTTGTGTTTTTTTTGTCCTTTTGTTATTATTAATTTTTATTTTATTATTATTTAAAAAAATTATTAATTAATATATATTATTTATTTTATTTTCTGTTTATTTATTTATTTATATTATATTTTAATTAATATAAATTATTAATAAATAT